TTGCCTTGCCCTGCCCTGCTCATTGGAGCAGAGACCCTGCAGTGGGAGCAACAGGGGCAGCAGCAAGCATGCGGGGTTATGTTAACACCCTCTGGCCCCCATGGGCTGCATGAGTCCTGCAGCCCATCTGTTAGACAGCCTTGGTATAAAACATCCTTTCAGGTGACCCTTATACATCCCAGGGAAGAAAAAGGGGATGGAATCACTGTGTGTGTTGTGTTCATGTATTCTTTGCCAGTCCCATTGAAAGCTTGGGAGGAGTTTCATGCCAGGGAGTGCTTGAGGCATACTCTTTTTTTTTACTAGTAAATACTTGTATAGAATATATATTTACATGGTACTTTATGCACAGAAAAACGGACACATCCTTTGCCCCCAAAGAACTTGTGGTCTAAGGCAAGGGAAACGCAAGACTAGATTCAGGACAGGTGATTAGATGAGAGGATTGTGGGTAATGAGGGGTTGGTTAAGTATTAAAGATGAATTTGGAGAGCGTGAGAGAAGATGCCTGCTTAGCTGAGAATGGGGCAAAGGTCTCAGGCCTGAGTCAAGCATGGTAGAAAGCAGGAGCCTGATCTGCCAGGGAGAGGAAGGGAATGAGATCTAAAGGGATCTGTGGTTAGTCTGAATCAGATTTTGTAAGAGACAGGCACCAGTGAAAGCTTTCAGAGTAGGTAACACACAGAACAAAGAGTAAGGAACACTGGCGTTGTGGACAGCCTGTATATGGCAGAAATGGAGGGCATTGCGATATGGTACTGTCCCAATCTTTGGAATTCCTATTTGATTGTACACTTACTCCTTTAGCGGGGTTCTGAAGGGAATCAGAAATGCTGCTTTTGGGTACAAATTATCTTTCTCCTGACCTATCTATTCTGTTCTCTTTTAGGTATTTATGCATCATCCATTGCTGCCTTTGATGTGAAAATGACCAAGTTAGGGTTTCTTCGCCTGTCCTATGAGAAACAGGACACGCTGCTTAAACTCCTCATCCTGTCTATGGCAGCTGTGCTGTGTAAGTCTGAGCCCCAAATTCAACTATCCACATGCTCTAAAGAACCCCTGAATGCTGCTAGCCCTCCACAATATTCTGCACTTGTTAGGATAGTGCAGCTCTAAATTATGTTTAGAATAGCATTTAGAGAAAAAACTTAATGTCTTTAATACATAGAACTTTGATAAATAACATCTCACTATCTCTGCCCCACAGTCAGTGACCGTCTCTCTCCCCAGTCATTCCCAGCCAAGAAACTAAATACGGTTTCTCTGGGGGCACCCTGCATTTCCACAGGCTTTAAGCCAGTGGTCTCCAAACTTTTTAAGTACCAGATCACTTTGTGAATTAAAGTGTAACCCAGGATTTACCGTGTGCCACCAACTCCTCCCCTCCTTCCCCCTCCCCACCCGGCACAGCAGTTCAGTCTGTGGCAGAGGTAAAGGCAGGAGGGGTAGATTGAGTCCTCTTCAGTGAGGGAGGCAGTGGGGCAGGGGACGCTCCAGCTGGGTCGGGTGGTGGGAGGATCGGAGCCCAGGCAGCTTGTCCAGGCACACGGGAGCTCCCAACGCTGTACGCATCCTGGCGGAGGCCCGGGGGGGCATGTCTCCCCCCCCCCCAATCTGTGTGCGGAGTGGATGCAGTGCTGCTGTGCACTGGGCTTTGCACGCCAAGCCCTGCTGCAGTTGCCTCGGGAGAGGCATGACACCATGTGCATCCTGCCGCCAGGCGGGCAGGGGGCGCAGCTCAGCCCAGCAGTGCGATGCACAGAGTATTGCACCACTCCCAGAGCAGCTGCAGCTCTGTATCTCAGTCTGGGGCGGGGCCAAGTGCATGTGCGCACACACAAATTCAGCCCTCCCAGGCTGAGATTGACTGTCAGAGGCTCCACGATCAACCAGTTGATTGAGATGGACTGGTTGGTGGCTACTGCTTTAAGCTATCATTTTATAAAGAAACTGAGTTGGATATAGTTTCCTTTGCTGTATAAATACTTTGCATTGATTCTTTCTTCTGCCTGTGTATTGCAGCTTTCTCCACTAGACTCTTCTCTGTTCTAAGATTTGAAAGTGTCATCCATGAATTTGATCCGTAAGTATTCTCCCTGAGTGTTACAGGCCTTTTTCTTATATAGAATTCAGAGGTCACTCTGCTTTCAGGTTTATGTTGCCCTTCTGCAGTGTTATGTTTCAGATGCTGGGAAAACTTCCTGGCATTGAAGGTGTGGGATTCAGCATATAGCCTTCATTAAATGTCTTTGGAAGCACTCACTTCCCAGAATCCAGCAGTTCCTGCAGGCGCATAGTGCTGATTTAGATGGGATTAAACTAAATGGGTAGTTTTGACATCTGTGGCTATCAGCAGGAGTTATCTAAATCTGAAGAGAATGGACAAAGGACCCTCCAAAAAACAATAAAATACCATAGATGATAACGCTTTAAGTCCCTCTTGCAAGTGTGACACTCAGGGCACTGAGTTCCTATTGGTTAATTTACGATGATCTGATGATTACCTTCAAGGATTACCTATAAAACTACTTGGTGGCAGCACACATGCCCTGAGGGAGTGGTGGGGAGGGCTACCACAGCAGAGGTTTAGAGCAGTTCAGAGAAACTGGAATAAAGAAATAAGGACTCTTATGACATGTTTACTGCAGGGTTGGGAGTCAGCCTGGATGCTGCTGGTGATTCTTTCTGGCTTTGCTATTTCTATGGTGTCATAAGAAAAATAGGCTGTAACTTTATAGTCAGTTCTCAACAGCCTGGATACATGGGGATCGGAGCTGCTTTATTCCTCTTTTCAGAAAATGTATTGACAGCTGTTCAGCCATAAGCATCTAACTTTGTGTCACTAGCTTAAAATCTGAATCAAAGTAAAGAAATGGCCAGTGCTCCTTGTGTCTAATGCTTGGTGCATTTGCACATGAATCGATTAAGGCTTTTATCCTGACAGAAAGCAGCTTAGCACTCAAGCTTGCACTCATCTGCCAAAGCTGGCAGTATTTCCTAATATGCTCATTAGTTAAAGGCTGAGTAGCAGTAAACAGTCAGCATTTCCCATGTTCAAACTGCAGAGATGCTCAACAAATCTTGTTATCGCAGGTATTTTAACTACCGCACAACACGGTTTCTGGCAGAAGAAGGCTTCTACAAATTCCATAACTGGTTTGATGACAGAGCCTGGTACCCTTTGGGCAGGATCATTGGTGGAACCATATACCCAGGTAAACCAGGATGTGTGTGTGGGGTGGGGTGGGGGGAGGTGCTACAGAGATTGTCTCAGTTCTTGAGATATATTTCTTAATCTGGTAAATCCTTTTCTCTAGCCCTGTGAACTTTGAGACAGAACAATTACAAAATGGAAGAAGCATCTAATTTAACTCAGTCTCGTGTAATGCAGGGTGTTCATACTAGCTGCATGGCTGACAGTCCTGAAGAAATAATTAAGAATAAACAAATTGATTAATAGTGTAGTAACCAACTGAGCTAGTGTCTGATAGACTTTGGTATTTCACATACTTTTTGCTGAGTGGAGCATAAGCATTCTTCATTGAGGACAAGGTAGAGGCAGACTTGTGTTCCAGTCTCCAGTTGGATTCTGAACAGTAGCAGGCAGATACTCTTTGTTGTACATGCATCATAGTGCCTGTGTCCCTTTCAGTGCTGGTATTGGATATTAAGCAGTTCCAGTTATCTGTTAAACTCCACGCTAGGTGAGCTTCCCTTTGTGTTCTCTTTGGTAATGGCAGAGAGGCAGTTAGCTCCGCTAATCTGAAGTCAAGCAGGACAGGGTGGCATGTAGAATCATAGAAAATTAGGGTTGGAAGGGATCTCGGGGGGTCATCCCCTTGCTCAAAGCAGGACCATCCCCAACTAGATCATGCCAGCCAAAGCTTTGCCCAGCTGGGTTTTGAAAAACTCCAAGGATGCAATATCTACAACGATCTCTCTGGGTAACCCATTCCAGAGTTGTACGACCTTCCTAGTGAGAAAATTCTTCCTAATATCTAACTTAAACTTCCCTTGCTACAACTTGAGACCATTGCTCCATTATAGATTAAAGCTTTTGCCTTTCTGAATGAGTTAAGATTTAAGTTGCCACCCTCGCCTGCTTTCTACCTGGAAATGGTGAAATGAAATCTGTGAGTTAATACCTGATCTGGGCTTTCATAATTCCAAGTAAGCCCCAAGGTTTGGACTTAAATGAATTACATTTTTTTCCATTAGGATTGCAGAGTGCTCCAGTTAGTGCTTCCGTTTCTACAGAGTGAGACCCCAACATAGAGCTGCTGTCTGGTTCATTTGAGGCCAGGGAGAATGTACATCTAAGTTTATTCTGTGTCTGGAGCCAAATTGAGATGGGGGCTTCTAAAGGGGCTACACTAGTTTGACTGTTGTCCCTTTAAAACTAACTAGCATCCTCTTGGCTCAGGGAAGTTCCATAGATGTTCCATTTTTCCCTTCTCCCCATTAAAGCTTTGATCTCTGGAAGCTTTTGGATGTCCCTGAGACTAGCAGACATTAGGTGGGGCAGTGTAAGTAACTTGTTAAATTTCAGTAACAAGTGAAAAATTTGGTTAAATTATTTAATTTGATGGTTTCTCTCTAAACTGATTTACAGCACTTAAGTTGTCCATTTTTAAAAAATGTCTTGACTGTGTGCTGTTCTTAATAAAATATAGAAAACATGTTGCTAGCAAATCAGTAATCCCTCCCTAACATAATCTCTCTGCTACAGGTTTAATGATCACATCAGCAGCAATTTACCATGTTCTACACTTCTTCCATGTTACCATTGACATCCGAAATGTCTGCGTTTTCCTGGCTCCCCTTTTCTCTTCCTTCACCACCATAGTAACTTATCACCTCACCAAAGAGCTCAAGGTAAAGAGTGAATCTGAACACAGAGGGTAGATTTGGTGACTTTTTTTTTTTTTATAGGAAGCAGATGCTGTACTTGTTGCTGTCTGGTATACATGTATTTCAGAACGTGAGTGCCAAGTTGAGACTTAAAGCTTGCCAAAACATAGAAATTGTTTCATAGAAGCTCTTGAAGTTTGTTTTCTTATTTTACAAATCAGGCAGTACTTTGATCTACTAATATGTTCAATCTGAACAAAATGTCTCTGGTTTGTAAGAAAATAGTTTTATACTTCAGCAAGAAAATTAGTCCTTTTTAGTAATTAGGATATTGAAAACACGTGCTCCAATTGAAATTTTTTTCCAAGCTAATCCAAAGATATTGATTATTGGCGTGAAGCATAATGGCCTGATTATGTACAAGAAGTCAGGGTAAGTGACCTGGGTGGTCCATTCTGGCCTCAAGACTCCTGTGAAACTGTGTCAGCTCATGCAATGCTGTTAATATGTTAGAAAGTAATATAAATAAAACTATGAAAGTGAAAAAGTCACTTTGTCTTGATAGCAGTTCAGTCTGTTTCAGGTTTTTTCCAGTCAGATATTTTAATAACAGTTGTCTCTGATGTCAGGGGGAAAAAAACCCGCTTGGAAACTTTTCATCAGAATGTCACTGATGAAAATCTCAGTAGAGCTGACTAATATTTTTCTCTTTTTTTTCTTCTCCAATGTGACTGTTAGTTCACATATTGATTTGTTTGTTTGTTTACAAGTCAGATTAATCCCGCAGTTTGGTGTTTTTTATTTGGCCTTAATTTCAGAATGTTTTTGTTAAATCTGTGTATTTTGGGATGGGCTTCTAACTGATTTCCACCAGAAAACCCTGCTGTTTTAATTTGTTCTGCAGTGATCTCTGAATGTATGGTCCTGGGGTAGCCAGTCAGATAGTAACTGTGAGAGCATGTCAAGATTAAAACATAGCAGCAGTCCCCAGTTGTTGTGGATAGGGTTTGTGACTGTTGCTTTATTTTGAGCCTACATACCCTGTTACTGGCCTGGGTTTCCAGCTGAGCTTGATTTCCTTGCCCTTTTTCTTTATGTTTATGGTGGAAAATGGGGCCAAATCCTCAGCTTGTCCTAAAGTTGAGGATCAAATGATTGGCACGGCTTGTAATCGCAGTGCAGTGTGTTTGAGCTAGTGCCAGGTCACCTTAACCTGCACAAGCTATTACATTATGCTTTTGGTCTCGAGTGTCTAGCTTTTATTTTCCCATCAAAGTTGCTTTGCAAAGTGATGCAAAGAAATGAGGGGCAAAGTCTTTTGTGTTACTTGTTTGGCTTATTCAAATGTTTGTTGGTTTAGAGAGAGTGGCCCTGGTGTCACAGCTCAGACTGTTGCACTGGCTAGAGAAGAATCGTTGACCAGGCTAATGTTCCTTCCCTAGTTCTGTGGCAGCCAGCCAGCTCCTTTAAGGACTTTCTTCCTCTCTTCAGCATCTTGCATATGTAATGAAGGCAGCATCAGGAGCCTAGTTAGATGCAGCCAACGTTCTGAACTTGAGCATGTCATATTCAGAAGCTTGTTCTCTAGGCTGTGTTTCAGGTTATTGGGGGGGGGGGGGGCAGAAGCATTTAGTTGTCACTGTACACCCAGTACACAGAAGCTTCATTTTTTTTCCCCTGAAGCTGAAGGCAGATCTCTGATGGGCACTAGAGGGAGAAAAATATGAGGAATTCTCCCCAGGGCTCCTGAAGCTGAGAATTATTCTCTGCCATGCAGAGGTTCTTCCTTGTATTAATTGTATTGTATTTGTCTGAAAAATCTTTCTTAAGACTGATGTGGTCTAGTTTTCCTTCTAACTGTGTGTGCTTCCCAGGATGCAGGGGCAGGACTTCTTGCTGCTGCCATGATTGCTGTGGTGCCTGGTTACATCTCTCGTTCTGTTGCTGGCTCTTATGATAATGAAGGTGAGGTTTGCAGGATTCCTTAAATGGGATTTTTGTAGATGGATGGCAACCCTTAAAGAGCCACTCTGTGCTGAAAAGCGCCTAGCAAATGAAGTGGGAACACCATTCTCAGTGATTTGCAAGTAGATAAATAGCAATCAGCAAATGAAAACCACGCTGCTTGGAAATGGTCTCTCTCCTGCCCAGCCAGCATGTTTTATTATTCAGCTGAGATGGTTGATCTGTCTCTGAAGAGACCTTTTGTTCCCCTGGAAAACTTTTGCATAGTTATGTCATATTGTACATTCAAACCATTTACGTTTTAGTTTGGTTGGTTACAAGGTAACCATATGAGACAAAAATGGGATTTTGGCAGTTCCACAGCCTGTATTTAGGATTTGCAACTCCCCCAGGTCTGCTTGTGCTTGTACCTAGCATCTGGTAACAGTTCTGCAGATGGGATGGAGACAATTTTGTCTAGAATAGAATAGAATAAAACTTGGTCTTTTGTAGCCATATTAGCCTTTGAGGGGCTATCAGGGGTCAACATGCTAAGCAAAGTTAGCAGATGAGTCATGGAGACGCACTGATAGCAGATATGTAGAGTAAGAAAAAAGCATTAATGCTAAATTAAACTTGGTAGGATTGACAAAGGGACAAAGGTTTTCTGAGGTCCAGGGCTGTATAAAAACTGACATATTATCATCCCAAATAGTCATTTTAGCACAGTTGAGGCAGTGGAACATAACAGTAGCAGTTTGTAGCTGCTTATAAAATGTATCTTGGTTATTTTGTTTTAATCTTTTTGATAACTTAAGAGTAGTACATGTTGCTCATTTGTCATTGGTTTGACACAAGCTAATCCTAGGCTTTTAGGAAGTAATGTATTAGTTGGGAAAGAACAAAGCATTTGAAACTAGGAACACCATCATTAATTTGGCTCTTCTGGATTGCTTTTTCCTGGGGCATGTCCCATAAACTGCTGGTGCCTTGCTTCCCTACCTGTAAAATGAAGGTAGCTACTTTTTAATGGTTTTTTGCAAACATTAATTTTCATAACAGCTTCTTGTGAGATGAGAAATACTGTTAAGAAACATAATTTCCTGTAAATATCCATTGATGTGTCTGATTTGATCTGACTGTAGAGTTGCAGAATTTTATTTTATTTTTTTGGACTGATCTAATTTGCTGTACCACATATACACACTTGGGCAGTCTCAACAGCAAAACCATTTCAGTTAAGAAGGTGTGTGCTTTGACAAAAATGACAATTGCCAGCTGACTTAGTATTAACAAAGCATACTTAACCCCACCCACTGGTGCCCCATGAGTCCACTTTATAGTGCCTGTAGAGCTATAGGAGCTGCACAGTTTTAGTAACAGTCCATTTCTAAATATGTATGTGGAAGAAAGTTCTCTAAAAGTATTGTGGTAAAAATGAATCTTCAGTGGTAGGACAACTCTTATGAAAACCCCATGCACTGGATGCCATCTCTGCTTTAGATAGGATTGTTGGGCTGGTTCTTTTTTTTTCCTTGTAATTCAGTATTTCCTATTAGGAGTTTGTCCTATCTGTGCAGAAATGTTATTTGACATTTCATAGGAAATGTCCTCATAGACTGTCCAGCCTGATCTCTCTGTGTTGCTTAGGTATTGCCATATTCTGCATGCTGTTAACCTATTACATGTGGATCAAAGCAGTGAAGACTGGTTCCATTTACTGGGCAGCCATGTGTGCCCTTGCCTATTTCTACATGGTAAGTGTCTATATTTTCCTAATGTCTTGGCTTCTTTGTCCCCACATAGTATGATTTGGTTGGTTTTTGTTTCTTTTTTGTTTTGTTCCATTAAAATCCAGAGGCCCTCTCGGGTGCCATTTTGTGACCCTTTGACTTTTAGCTTTCTGTACCTAAAATGATGAGGGAAAGGATGACAAGGACATCGTTAAAAATGGGTTGTAAATTATAGCAAGCATTAAACAGTATAAGGCTATCTAAATGGCAGGAAGAGAGGTTGAATGGAGCCAAATATGATCAGTGTTCCGTTCAACTTCGATGAATACTGTAACAGATTAGCTGCTAATCGCTTCCAGTGTTATGTCATACTGTTTGTGTAGTAAATGTCAGCTGTGGCCATGTTCATAATAAAAAAGCTAGCGCAAGATCCGCATCAAAAGCTTTTGTCTGTTTTCCTGTAAGTTCAGTGCTGAAGAGCTCATTTAATCTTGTAGATTAAAGGCAGTTTCAAATGTTAATTGGAAGAAGAGAAGTTGTTTGGAATTGGGACAGCCCCATGATACGTTCTCTTCCTTCTGTTGGGGAATAATAAATAAAAAGAAGGGGTGCACCGATAGAGATGTTTGGGGTCAATACCAGTAGCTAATTTTTAAGGAGGCATATCGTTAAATACCGATCCAATTTCTGATACCAGCCCAGCAGCTTGAAGAGCTGTATGCAGCTGATAACTCTGGTGTGGTGGAGGGGGAAGAGAAGGGGTGTAGAGGGGGGGCAGATCAAAGCCCCTGCAGCGAGGGAGGAGTGAGGCTGGATCAAGTGCTGCCCAGCCAGGGCAGGATGGAGCCATGGAGAGTCTGGGGGGTGCAGGGTGAGGGGTGGGGGCTGCTGTCACTGTGCACCGCTCATCTGGGAGCCACCTGTTCATCCGGCAGGTCATGGAGGGGCGGGGCATGTGCCCCTGGATCTGTACAGGGCGGGGCAGGCTGGGGCTTTGCCAAACTCTTCCTAGTGGGGCGGGGCTGGGCTCAGGGTGGGTGGCAGCAGCACTGGGACAGGGGGTGGGAATTGGGGTGGCTACAGCAAATTTTGCGGTGGCTGCAGCCCACCCCCCATCCTCCCTGTTCCAGTGCCACTGCCACCCGCACTGAGCTCAGCCCTGCCTCACTGCGAAGAGCTTGGTGCAGCCCTGGTCCCATAAAGATCTGGGGGCATATGTCTCCCCTGTGCCCTCCCGGATGACCAGTGGGAGCAGTGGTGGGAGCCGCTGGACGAGTGGGCAAGTGCCAGACAAGCCGCCGGACCAGTGGCTCCCGGATGAGTGGCACATAGTGGAGGGAACCACCTCCCTCCCCACACCCCGCAGACAAACTGCGGCTCCATCCCACGCCTACCCTGCCCTGGCTGGGCAGCCCCAGCCCCACTCCTCCTTCCCTGCAGGCGTCTTGATCTGCTCCCCCCACACCTTCCCTTGCCCCTCTCCCCTCCTTTTCCACCACACCAGACTTATCAGCTGCACTCAGCTCTCCAAGCTGCCCAGCTGTGCTCCTTGCCACCTACATGCTATGCTGAGGCTGCTCCCACGCGTGGGCCATTTATTGGCCAAATTATTGACTGTATCAGGCCAATTTCCGATGCAGACAATTTTCTTTTTATCAGTGCTAATCCAATATTGGACTGATGTATCAGTGCACCTCTAATAAGAAGACAACAGTAATGTTTGCTGCAGACCTGCTGAAAGAAATGGTTATCTAGCTGTACCCAAAGCCAAAGAAAGACTTTAGCTCTCCATTGTCTGAAGCCAGCAAAGAAGTCTGCTGAATGTTGAGAGTGCTGCTGCTGAGCTAGCAAAGAGAACTAGCATCAAAATGAGAACTGTAGGTGGGTGAAAGTAGTTGGAAAAAAGTTCTTAGCAAGCTTTTGGGCACAAGTTTTCAGGTTCAGTCCCCTTTCTTCAGGCTTAGGGAGTCTCTGCTGTTCTGAGACTCTACGAAACTTTCCCTGGTTCACTGGGAAGAGCGTGGCGCATCCCCGGTCCATGAAAGAAACTGCAGTTTTTACTCACTTTGAATTTCACTTTATTAGCTCTACCTAAAATGGGACTTTTCCTATGTATTTGTATTGGGGCAGGATGCTTCAGTTATTGCTTCCATCACATTTACCACTGTTTCTATAAGAGGGATAGTAACTCCTCTGCCTGATGGTACTCGGGTCTGTTTTTCCTTTCACAGAAGTGAGGGGTTTGTTTCTAAAACACTGGCTTCTCTTCATCTTGTTCTGATGATAAACCTGTTCTTTCCTTCCTTTTGGCCAGGTTTCCTCCTGGGGTGGTTACGTATTCCTGATCAACCTGATCCCTCTGCATGTCCTTGTGCTGATGCTGACAGGGCGCTTTTCCCACAGGATCTATGTCGCCTACTGTACGGTGTACTGCCTAGGGACCATCCTGTCTATGCAAATCTCCTTTGTTGGCTTCCAGGTAAGAGAACCAAGTGAAGCAGTGGGAAAGATCATGACTTAGTGGTTAGAGCAGGATAACTATGGTTGACTGACTTCTTTTATGGGCTCTGCCACTAATTTGCTTCTGAATTTAGTGTAGATGCTTTGCTTCTCTGTTCCTTTGTGTCTTATTTGTAACAGGGCTGATGAAACTTTGCAAAGCTTTTTAAATCACGTAAAAATCCACTATTACACATGTGGTCTGGATTGCTTATTTTTTTCCAGGTTGCTTTGTATTAAGAAGACAACAGTGCCAAATAATTGAAGTCAGACAGCTTGGTCCAGGAAGAGTTCTTTTCTAGTTCTGTTACTGTTATGTTCATTCCCTTTGTGATCTTAAGCACGTCACTTGCAGCCAGTTTTTTAAAAGGAATTTTAAAGATTTTTAAATTTTATTCAGGTGCCTAAATTACTTTGAAATCAGCCACCTCTTCAAAACAAGTTATTATTGGAAAAGGAATTAGTATGATGAGCAGAGTTCTGGGTTTTCTTTTTGCTGTAAAAAAACATGGATTTTTCTCCTTTTAAAGGCTGGCAGGGTTCCAGCCGGCAAGGGGCTGCTTGGGGGAATGGGAGGTGGACAATCACAGGCAGGGACCGCCATATGCATATGTACCTGCACACATTCATGTAGCAGCCAGGCATTGTGGTGGAGAGCATCTTCCTGCAGGTAAGTCTATGCAAGGGGATGACATGGGTGATGTGTCGAGGGGGGCATGAGAGGGCCAAATGCCCCACCAGATCTGTGGCCCCACAGTGGGCATGAGGTGCTGTGGTCTATCTAGACTGGCATGGGCAGGAGCTGCCTTCATGGCCCAGTGGGCAGGACAGTGAGACTCGTTGCCACTGCCAGGACACACACGCCAGCCACACCGCCAGCAGCCTGAGGAGTAATGGACTTGGGGAGGGGATAGGGGTGCGCTGCCCTTGCTGCCTCCCACCGCCATGACTTGGCCACCAGCACTCCCACTTTCCTCAGGCTGCGGCTCTACCTTGGTGGGGTGGGGACAGTACAGGCAGCCTGAGGAGAGCAGTGGCGGCAGGAGTAGCTGGGCCACATTGGCAGGGTAGAGCCACAGCCCAACATATGAGCAGCTGGCGGCAGGAAGAGGTGAGGGCAGTGCAACCGCCTCCCCCCTCCCCCGGTCCATTACTCCTTGTGCTGCTGGTGGTGTGGCTTTTGCAAAGGTCCCAGTGATGGCGGAAAAGTCTCGCTGCCTTATTCCACTGTACCGCCCTGGGTCCTGTCCGCTGGGCCATGGAGACGGCTCCTGCCTGTGCTGGTTTAGCTAGGCTGCAGTCCCGTACCCTGTTGTGGGCACACAAATCTGGGGGGCATGAGCCCCCCCCATGCCCTCCCTCAATACATCCTTTATGGTCAGGCACTGCCCCCCCCACACACACTCCCATGCCCTGCCCTACACACGCTTGGAGGGCTGGGGGCAGATGGTAGCGAGTCAGGAGTGAGGAGCAGCAGCAGAGCTGGGGGGATGGGGGAGCTGTGGGTTGGGAGTGAGGGGCACCAGCAGGGCCAGGGGGCTGTGGGTTGGGAGTTAAGAGCACCAGCAGGGCTGGGGGGGCCTGTAGCTTGGGAATGAGGGGCACTGGGAGGGCTGTGGGGGCTAGGAGGCTGTGGGTCAGGAGTGAGGGGCACCAGCATATCAGGGCTGTTCAGTGCCGCAAAGCGGCAGAGGGATAGCCGCAGCTGGACCTGCATCCTGATGAGCAAATGGAGCAGGGGGAGCTCTGATTTTCCATGATAAAACTAAATCAAATGCCAAAATATAGGTATTTAGAATTTATTTTATTGTAATGATTAAAGCATTGGTAGGCTTCCAAGTTGCTTTAAAATTGTAAGTATATCAATAAAACATTGTTCAACTGATACTTGTATGTGTAGTGGCATTTTGTGTTGATCATGGAAAAACACAGAATTTGGGGTTTTAATCAGAGAATTTTGGATTTTTTTTTTAAACAGAGAAAACCAGGATTCCCAATGATAAGAGCTTTAACTGTGGCTCCTGAATTTAATTGCCTCTGGGGATTTCTAAGAGCCTTAATCTTCAATTAATTTTTGTAAGAAAGTGACTCATCCCACCTATGTGTTGTCTTCTGTGCCAAAGGGAAGGCACCTGTGATTCCCATGAGTGTGCTGCTGGAGAATAAACTGAAATACACAGTGAATCTGACACAGAGTGGCTGCTACCCTCCATATCTGATTCCACCTTCTCTTCTTTCAGCCTGTTCTGTCATCTGAGCACATGGCTGCTCTTGGGGTCTTTGGCTTGTGTCAGATCCATGCCTTTGTGGACTACCTGCGCAGCAAGTTGAACCCCCAGCAGTTTGAAATTCTCTTCAGGAGTGTGATCTCCCTGGTTGGATTTGTTCTTCTTACAATAGGAGCTGTGCTGATGTTGACAGGTATATTGAGATCTGTGGTAAAACCTGCATTCTTGATGATTAAAGCACATCTAATTTCCAGTTTGCTTTCTTTGCCTTTGTTTTGGAGAGCAACAATATGATCAAATATAACTCAGCTTTGAATGAACAAAAGAAAAATTGCATTTTTTTATAATTTACAAACCTGCATGGAGAATCCATGTCTACTTTGAGAACAGCACTTAAATAATCATCTCTTCTACTGGAAACTGAATATTTTTGATGAACAATCAAAGTAAAACTATAAAAATGATATAAAGGTTTCTTTTGAGGGTTGAGAACTGCACTTTTAAAGCAATTTTAAAAGCTAACCGTTATGAATTTACTATATTGATAGTACTGCACATAGAGCAGATGAATTTGCATTTGTGAAATAAAATTTTAGTTCCTACATACATTTCTTCTGTAGGAGCACTTGCTGGAGTCACAGATCAGTTTACACTGGAAATGTGAATTTCTCTCTCTCCTATCAGGGAAAATATCTCCTTGGACCGGTCGTTTCTACTCCCTGTTGGATCCTTCCTATGCAAAGAATAACATTCCCATCATTGCTTCAGTTTCTGAGCACCAGCCCACCACGTGGTCCTCCTATTATTTTGATTTACAGCTACTTGTTTTCATGTTTCCAGGTGAGTTTGGTACATTCATTTATGCTCAAACCAACTACTTGCAGGTAAATGTGTTCAGTTTGTAAACATTTAAATATTGCTGTACAAAATCCTAATGAAAGTCCCCTGTCCTTCCCACTGGGCAGAAGCCAGAAAAGGGCACCATTATACTAAACGCCAATATTCTTGTACTCCATCAAGTCAGTAGGAAATTGCATTGTATTCTACACCAGGTAGGGCTACTCTTTTTAGACTCCTTTGCAAGATTTAGCAGTGCCCACTTGCTTGGCATGGTCACCCACAGGGAACACATTATACTCCTTTTAAGCCTTGCGGTTCACTTATTACAGTTTTAATGTATGGCATTTTATCTGAACTGTTATGAGTGACAGTCTTTTGTCTCATGGATAAGACATGGCATGAGACTCGGGACTCAGTGCTGACAGTGTCTTGCTCTGAGATTTGAGTAAATCATTTCCCCTCTCTGATAACATTTGCGTACCTTGTAAAGTGTTTTGAGAGCTATGGATAGAAAGCAGTAGGGAGGGAAAGTGCCAGATACCACCACCTGTGGCACTGGATGGTCTTCCCATGAGCTTCTCTGATAGATAAGGTTCCCCCAGAGGCATTTGCTCTCAGTACTTAGATTGGCACACTTGAGGTTAATTGGTGCTAATACCTTGAATTATACCCCAACATTACAGGAAGCTTGTGTATTATGTAGAACTTTGTAGTCTAGTATGCTCCTTACACAGAAGCCCAATAAATGAATTACAGTATTCATTACTGGGCCAGTAAAATGCCCCACTTATTTGAATGCTAATATAGCCAATGAATTATGCCTGTGTTTCTTTGTCATATGGCTTTTAAGTCCAGCATCTGTTCAATCTGTGTTGTGCTGACAGGCTAATTCATTATAAGTCTGCAACTCCTTGCAGGACTTGACCACCATTGCCCCTTTCCTGGCACTTGTTTCCTCTGCACTAATGCACCGAACCAATTTTTATTGTGATAACAAAAGATATGTTATTCTAAAATTAGACCATTTGTAATGTTCTGCTTTGACCTTCAGTTTGTTTAATGTAATGTCTTTCCAGTCTGGGTGTTGACCGTGTCTCCCTCTTTTACAGTTGGCCTCTACTACTGTTTCAGTAATCTATCAGATGCCCGTATTTTTATCATAATGTATGGTGTGACCAGCATGTACTTCTCTGCTGTGATGGTGAGAGCTGCTGCCTGCTGAGGAGTGAAAATCTGCCATCATGGGACTTGAACTATTTGGGCTTGGGAAAAACGGGTAGAAAGAGGAAATGGGTAACATGGAGCACTAGGAGAGCTATTTCCAGCTCTGTTACTCACTCACTGGGGGTCATAACCTTCTGTGTTCTGAACTCTCCCAGCATCCAGTGGGCATAATCTTATACATATGAGTTGACTGAAACATTCATAGCATTTCCTGCATTTTCAACCACATTTATTTATCCATCTGTATATGGTTGTGAAGCCTTGTTAAAAAAAGCAGCTTTGCAAGATTTCTAATAGGTTGGACTGTCGTTTATCTTTATTGCCATTACTGCTGGGGATGGACAGATTTTGGGAGAGACTAATGAATGCTGTTTCCAGTCTTGCTCTTGGGTTATACAGCTTGGCTGTGCTATCTGTGTAGTCAGTATAAGCTAACCGCAAAGGACTTGCCTATTCAAACAGTAGCTTCTTGTTAACAAGTAGTTCACAATTCTGTTGTACCATATTGTACTCCAGGTGGGAACTGAATCTTGTAAATGAAACCACTCATTCTTAGCTATAGTGCAACTTTACTGAAGGCTCCAGAACTGATGTCGAATCAGAATATTTTTCTGTGACTTTCGTGAAGTTCGGAGATTTCATGGCAGTTAACAAAGGGGTCAGCAGGGTGGTCAGTTCCTGCCCACTGGGGAAAACCGTCTTAATGCCTCATGCTCAAGAGGCTGTTGTTGAGTTCAGAATAGTTGCTTGTCTGAAGAATCACTGCATCAGTGGGATGTTACATTCTTCAGCAGTTTTTCAGTTCTTTGTTTATGTTGTACTCTGCTAGTAGTTTCTTATGTGTGATCAGGTATTAAATGCCTGCTGTCTTCACCAGGTGCGTCTCATGTTGGTGCTGGCCCCAGTTATGTGCATTCTGTCTGGCATTGGAGTTTCTCAGGTGCTGTCCACTTACATGAAGAACCTGGATATCAGCCGACCAGACAAGAAAACCAAAAAACAACAAGACTCTACTTATCCCATTAAAAACGAAGTAAGTTCCCATGCATGATTAAGACCCAGGTTTAAAACAGAGGCCAGACCCAAACTTCCAAGGGGCAAGCATTACTTCAAGGGTCTGGGGGTAGGAGACTGCTAGTAATGTAAGGATGTCCTCTAGATCTATGAAATAGCAGAAAGAGGGGGAAAAAGGTCTTGTTTTCTTAGCATAGGTCTCTTAGTATATGTGAGCCCTGCATTTGGGTTGAAAAGGGCTTCTTATAAAGGGAGGTTGATATCTTTCAGAATAACATTTCTGAAACACATTTTTGATTGCTTTCTGCTTCCCTAGGTTGCCAGTGGCATGATCCTGGTCATGGCTTTCTTCTTGATCACCTACACTTTCCATTCAACCTGGGTGACCAGTGAAGCCTATTCCTCACCTTCTATAGTGCTGTCTGCTCGCGGTGGGGATGGTAGCAGGATCATCTTTGATGACTTCAGAGAGGCTTATTATTGGTTGCGCCACAATACACCGGAGGTAAACTTTAATAGGGTTTCTGCTTACATCAATGGTTCTCAAACTTTAAGTTCGAGGAGCCTCTCATTAGATTTGCTTTTATTTTTCACTCATTTTTGGACTACAGAAAAATAATAGAGCAATTCTTCTGTTGCAAAGAACTCAGGCCATGACAAGTCAGAATGTTTTTAACACTGTGCATTCCTATTTGAAATCTCTGGGTTTGTTGTGAATCATGTTTGCACACCTAATAGTGCTAATGCTGTGTGGCACCCCTCAACAACCCTGGAAGGATCTCAAAGTACCCCAGGGTACTGTATTCCCAAGGCACCCTGGTTGAGCATCACTGGTTTGTATAAATGAAATAATTTCTCTGGAATCAGTTTTAGGTGAAACAAGAAGCCTTAAATCCTAAGGACTGACAGGACTACTGCTATATCTTTTGTTAAGGAATGGTATCAGAAATTAGGTCTAAAATGCAAGATTACTAGGCTACATTAGACTTGCTTTCAAAAAGGCCTGAAGGCTTTGGGCATGCCCACTCTGATTTAGGGATAGGATGGTCTCAACTCTAAATGTTTTGAATCAGAAATATGTACAGAATTGAACCTATTCCAAATGAGCCATGTTTTTTAATCCTCCCTAGTGCTGTTTGTCCAGGATGCCCAAGCATACTCCAGTGGTTGGAGCTTGTAACTTGGAGTCGGGAATCTTGGGTTCCATCTCCCCTTGAGAAGTCATTCATTTAATCTGTGCCTTAATTGCTTAATCTATAAAACTAAGTTATTTGCAAAACTCCCTTTCAGGAGACTGCAGGGAGTAATTGTTAAGTAAATATCTGTAAACGTCTGTGACAGTCTGGTATAAAAGATACTGTATGAGTTATTACTCTGTGAATGGAGGATGGAGTTGCACTAAGGTCCTGTCTCACAGGACCCTGGAGTCAGTACTCAGATGTTGGTATGCTGCCTTATCTGAAAGATATAATTCTGTGACACAGGCTGAACACTGTTAGATTCCCACTATGTTTTCAAAGTCAGCTTCTTAGAAGAAGCTTTTGGGCCTTAAGAGTTTCCTTCATTGCTTGAAGAAAGACTTACTTCTCCCTATTGTTTAGAATCACTTGGGAAATGGAGATTCTTTATTGAACTATTCATTGCACATAGATTCTGCCACAAAAGAGTTTGTGGCCACTGGGCACATGGGGTTGCTGGCCTTGACTTCTGTGGGGCAAACAGCTTTGCAAAAGAGGTTAGGAAGATGTAGGTCATTTATTGGATTACCTAACTTTACCACTGAATAGCTTTGAACTCCTCCCAGCATATAGAGCTTATTGACTTGCCTGCATGGTTGTCTTGTGAGCATGAAGTGTTCAGTTCCAATAAAAAGTACTGTTTTAAATTTGACCTATTCAGCACAGTTCTTGGTAGTTTTACTGCACAGAACACAAGATCAGAAGTGACCTGCATTCCTGGTCTCTGGAGGAGTTGTTTGAATGCTCTCAGACTTTTGAAAACAACATGTTGGCAGTTTGCTGCATGACTAATTCAGAAGCTTGTTATGTTCAACCTGAGTGCAAAGGAAAGAGAAGTGTCGGAGGGCTGTATTATAACTGACTTTGTTGCCTGTGTAGCTTAAAATAAACTGTAGTATAACCAGAATTATGTTATAGCCTGAGTCTTCCCAGCCAAATATGTTTGTAGTAGATCTTGGTTCAGTCTGTAGATTAGAATGCTATACCCTGATGATATCAACTCAGCTGTGTGTGGATGGCTCTTGGGCCTCAGACTTTGAGCCCAAAGGAATATCATCAGTCAGTGCATTTCTGAACTTTTTCTTCATTATAAACAGGCCTTGCTAGGCAGCTTCCAGTTGCATTTTCACCCTCTTTTTGTAAATTATGATAAGGAAGTGAGGCCTGGAAGAAAATACCATGCAGTCCCATATATAGAAGTTGGTCAGTTTGCTGCAGAACACAGCTGTTTGGCAGCTGCCTCTTTTTCTGTCTTGGCTTTGGTTTGCTGGCAGAAAAGACTACCTGTCCAACTTTCTTCTCAGAACAAACTGGGTCAACTTTAGTGAACATTATAGCATTGCATAAAAATGTGTGCTCCTGTGATCTGCTGGGCTCAACAGATTTGGGGCGTCTTATAAGACCTGCCTACTAAGTGTGTTGTAATGAGGAATGGGACAAAACTTCCTTCACAGCATTGGTTGAAAACAGACTGTACTGATTGACCTTTTTGTATTTGAATGCAGGATGCAAAGGTCATGTCTTGGTGGGATTATGGGTATCAGATAACAGCCATGGCCAACAGGACAATTCTGGTAGACAACAACACTTGGAATAATACGCATATCTCCCGAGTTGGGCAGGTAGGTGCAACTACTTCTTGGTCCTAGAACTTTTCCTCCAGTATTCCAGAAAAACTTATGTGGAAGAAGATGCATTCTTCTTGGGTCCTGGAAATAAAAGGAGGTTCTCATTCAAGCAGTTTGTTCTTATTAAGGACTAAGATGGTTTCAAGTTGCAGTCCATATACCAACACAACAGAGCAACTCTGGGTTTAATGGCTGTCACTTGACTGACTTTGTATTTCATTAAGGCAATGGCATCCACTGAAGAGAGAGCCTATGAGATCATGAGGGAGCTGGATGTCAGTTATGTGTTGGTAATATTTGGAGGCCTCACTGGATATTCCTCAGATGGTAAGGCCATCATCCAAAATACCTTTTTTTCCCTACTCCTCCTACAGTCAGATTCCTGCTTGCTAACTCATTCCACTATCCCAGTAGCTTCTTGGATGAATCATGCATGTTCCTGTGCTGTGGTAGTCCTGTTTTCTTCTTACAGATATGGATAGTTGTAGGTGATGCATTCCACTGCTACACTGTGACCATGGTAGAGCTGGCTGGAGTTACTACAGTTGCTGAATATATTGTCTAAGGAGCACAGAATGGCCAGGCCCAAGTTCCTTTCTAAAAGGGAGAATTTATATTAGAAGAGTCAGTTATAAAGTCAGTGAATCCCAACACACAAAGTAGAATGGGCAGCTAGGTTACAAGTTCTACTTGGCTTGTGGAATGGAGACTCAATGTGGGGATGAGCAGGTTATGTGATCAGGCCAGGCTGATGTGTTGGGGAGTGTTTGTGCAGTGCTGAATAATGAAAGGATGTCTAGAGAATATTGCCAATTGAAACAAATACTTTCTCTTGAGCCTCTGGCATGGCTGTTAGAAACAAAACCAATTATTTCTCTGCTAGGAGTGAGAGCAAACCTGGATCTTTGTTAGCAATACCCTCAGGAGAAGAACTTAACATTTCTGTAAGATTTATTGTAGACATACGTGGCTATTACTTGACAGTCTTCAGGGTAATGGATGAGGAGCAGGTGCTCAAAAGGTGGTTGCTTAGTTTGGGTAGCAGATGAAGCATGAGGCCAGATGCCAGGGAGCACTGGGTGTGTCTACACATCCATTAGATCTGGGAGCTGTTTACTTGCAAGTAAATGCTCCCAGGCAGGTGTCTACATGTGCAGGGAAGTGGGAGCAGATTTGCTGCTAATGGCAATAAACTGCTCCTGCTTCCTGGGGCCCTGCAGTGGACCTCTGCCTCCAACAGGGGGAGCTCTAGGCTCCTTCTCATAGTTGCTAGTCCAAGAGCTGGTGGGGAGCCCTGGGCCAGGAGACAGCTGCCTCCTGGCCGGGGATGGGACATCCTCAGGGAGGGCTACTGCCAGGGCAGGGACAATGTCTCCCTGCTCCGGTAGTAGGGAGCTCCTGGGCCAAGTTCCCCAGTTGGGAACTCAGGATTTAGAAAGAGCTGCAGGGGTGGGGCAGGTCCCAGATCCTGTCCTGATCCGCTGGTGGGGCAGCTAGCAGTGAGCCCCTGGCTGGGCGGAGAATCTCCACCCGACTGAGGCCTTGCTACACAAGCACTACTGTGCAGTAACTAACTGCAAGTAAATTTTGCTACTTGCATTTGCAGGTAGCAGATTTTCTTCTGATTTAGAGCCGTTTACTGCGCAGTAAGTGTGTGTATGTGTAGATGCGCACATTTATTGCACAGTAAAGCATCTCGTGTAGATGCACCCACTGAGTACTAGTTTCTGTGTTGCCTGTCACTCCTTGTATTCCTGGACAATAATCCTTACATTGTTTCTGTTCCCTTACCTGTAGCCCTGCCTCCTCTGGGGTGGTGGAGTTCAATATGTTTAATAACTAATACAACACTTAAAGAAATATTGCCATATAAGTGCTGCTACTTTGCTCACTAAGGACATTTTACAGTTATAGGAGACTGAACCATTTGTGGCAACTTGTTCCCACACCCAGATCTGTTAGAGCCTCACTCCCAGCTGAAACGGCATATAGATGGTGCAATTGTCAGTGAAATAACAGCATATATGAGATTTGAGACATGCAGCTGTGTAAATTTTTTGCCAGATGTTGTCCCCTGTCTGGCAGAGGCTTGTAGTCTGGACAGTGTTCCTCTTGAATGCCACACTTGGGTGCTTAACTGGTTGTTGGAAATGAGAGCAAATGTTTTTACACCTCACACTGTCTCCTTGCTCCTTTAGATATCAACAAGTTCCTGTGGATGGTGAGAATTGGTGGGAGCACAGACACTGGGAAGCACATAAAGGAACACGATTACTACACACCGACTGGAGAGTTCCGTGTTGATAGGGAGGGTTCCCCTGTGCTGCTCAACTGCCTTATGTATAAGATGTGCTACTACCGCTTTGGGCAGGTCTACACTGAAGCCAGTAAGTAGCAGTGGTCTTTATGTTGGTATTGCAAAAAGAGCACCTGGAATTTGTCTTGAGACTAAAGCAGAGAACACAAATATCCTGACAATTAAGGTTCGTTTAAGGTGTTTTGTGACATTGTGTGCTCGCAGCTGTGACACTGACTTGGAGTATGGCTTTGGGCAAATTGCTTTTCCCTTCCTCCTTCACCACAGTCTTTAAAATGGAGATGATGTTGACCTGTCCTCTGGGGATAAGGAAACGGGCTTCATTCCAGCATCTTTCAGCAGTGTGAAATTCTCTCTCAAATTTGTGCTGAAATGTGAATCACTGGCAGGCTCCTTTCTTTACTGGAAGGCTTTAGCCATTTTGGCCACCCTGTGCTGAAACTTATAGTAGGGCTGCCTCCCACTAAAACATGTTGATACCTAACACCACACGGTTTAAGATGCAGTTGGACATTCTCCACAAACAACATGAAACAATAACCTTTCTCACTTACCTTGGTGCTCTCCTTCCCCGCCCCCCTCTTTTTTTTTGGTATACTTCACCAGGCCTGCTATTTACTAATAAACAAAATCCTGATTTATTTATTTAAAATGCGAGGTACAGACAGTGAACATGCTACTCTGTTTGGAGTGCAGTCACCTGGGGAAGGAGGGAGATTGGGTAGTTCATATTCCAAATTCATTCTGTGCCTCTTGGGTTTTGAGACTCCTTTGGGAAAGTATCTTCAGTTGGGTTGGAGGGGCTTATACTATTTCCGTGGAACTAGGGCCTCTGAAGTCTCTGATCACTTTTTCGTTCTCTCTAGAGCGCCCACCAGGTTATGACAGAGTGAGAAATGCTGAGATTGGAAACAAAGACTTTGAGCTTGATGTCCTGGAAGAGGCCTATACTACAGAGCACTGGCTAGTCCGAATATACAAAGTAAGCAAACAATAGGGGCTACCATCTGCCTCTTAAGAGAGAACAGTCAGGGTATTCCTAATATCCTGGGATACCGCCATCTCAAAGATCCTTCATTGAGATTTTTTTTTCTTCCAAGTGTGGAGTTGAGCTTTAGAAATGAATTTAAGATATTGATCAAGGCTACCACAGACATTGCATTAACTTGACATAGAAAGGAGTCTAGTTTGAAGTCTGGGCTAGTACTATTTTAGGAAGCACCTTGTTTCTGTACCTGTCTCTGGACCATTGTATAAGGTATGCATTGTTTTGACCAGACTTTGTTGTTTGTTGCTTGCACAGACAGCTTTCGGAGGGCAAGTTACTTTGCAGCTCACCAGATGGCTGTGAAGGTTGAAGCTGCATAGGTTGAATCAAAAATCAAATTTCTGCCACCTCAACTATACCAAAAGAAGCAAATAAATGCAGACAGTGGAATTAGCTTTAACTCTTTAATCTATACAGATTTAACTAGTTTTGTGTCTCTGATCACATCATACCTTTTCTGGAATAGCAAATAGTGTTTTGCCCTTTGGGCTCATGCTGCCTTAGCATATAATGCAGTGGGGAGAACACAGACAAGAGATCTAGTCTTTTCCTGACTGATAGATTTGCTGCATGATCCAGGACAAGTTGTTAACACAGTGCATCCATTTATTTATCTGTGAAATGGAGTTGCCACTGATGTCTTTGTTACCAAGTATACCTGCTTCCCCTCTCGTTAGTACATGAGAACTACAAAAGTGCAAAGTGCCTCTGTTCCAAAGTCTGCAGAAAATTATGTATGGTTAAATATAATGTTCATCACAACACTCTTTTAAATTAGAAAAGTTGAAATGTGTCTTTCGTGCAATTAGATCTGCCCAGTCCAAACCAGTGGAACACATCTGAAGTACATCATAAGATGAGTAAAATTATCTCTCCTCTCTCATCTGAGCTCTCCGTCACTGGGGTAATTTATGACACCTCTGAAAAGACAGGAAAACAAAGTGGAATGACTTAGCCCTTTTGTATAGCTTGTGACTGCAAAGCACTAGTACAAAAGGATTAAAGAACATGGCTTTGAATATTAACTGTTTAAGACCGAATGAAAAGAAAAAACTAATTTATGATCAGGGAATGTCTAGGGAAACTCTTTCAAAAAGTATTTTTCTTTGTTAATTCTGAGAAATTCTGAAGAAAGCTTAAATAATTTATTGTTTTGCAGGTAAAGGACTTGGATAATCGTGGACTGTCAAGAACATAGATTTGCCTTCAGCTTTAAGGAAATCGCACTGAGTCTGCCTGTGAAGCAAGTTTTTTTTTATACAGTTTATAAGTGCAAGGAGTTGGATTAACTGCCCATGAAGTTCTGCCCTCATGCATACAGTCCATATTAGATGGAATGATTTTTATAAATATGAACCAGTTACCAAATCAGAAATAATGGCTTTATGGTGGGTGATTAAAGGGGAGTTTAAAAAAAGTGTGTAGTTCTTGCTTCCTTTCCAGTGATGGTGCCAGATGCAGCAATCCAGGTGTTCCCTCTTGAAGTGTGAAGATGTTTTACTTTTTGAATTTACTAACACCTCAAAGTCTACTTCCTTTTCTGAGTCACAAGACTCAGATTTCCATAATGGTAGCCATCTGCCTCACTTTGGTTTATTAAAACAGGTTTTTGGTAAAACAGCCACCCTTGTCCATTTTGAATATCAGATCAAATTTATCAAATATAGTCCTGTCCTGATGAGCAACACACTTTTTTGGGGATGTTCTATGTTGGAAGGCACTAAATACCTCTACTAATAAATAGGGAGATAACTGGCTGTCTCCTGACACACAACTAAACTTCTTTCTCCCAAGTGGTCTTGATTTGGGTATCTTCTCTAGTATATGTAATTCTGATTACTGGTCAGCCTCCATATTCCAGGCTTCCCTCCATGGTGCATCAGTATCGTGGTCCAATGTTACAAACCCTCCTTGAACCCTTTGAGTTTTCTTCTGGCCAGTTCAGTCAAGGCATTTTATTAGGTTGCACCTACAAGTCATGAAAAAATGACAGCAGTGCATCAACCAAGGAGGACTGAATTAATATTGCTGCAGCAATCTATAGAATATATAGCAGTCAAATGGATGCATGGCAGCTGGTGGACACTAAACAATGGTATTTAGTTGAGTCTTCTTCAAACCAGCTGGAGAGCACATTGGGTTTAATACCTAAACCTGATAAGTCATTGTAGTTAAAAACCAGGAAGTACTGTGGCGTATGTTCATACTTTTAGGAAGTGACTTCAATTGTAGTGAATAGTCATCTGTCTATATGTTTAAGTTACTTAATTTATATGAAAAAAGTTGATTCCGAACAGGACCTTCCCGTGTAGATTTTTTGGAAAAGGCTTTTACTGAATCTTTTGCTTGAGCAGCTGAGATATTATTAGTCACAAGGCCTGGCACAGTTTTGATGCAAGGTTCACAAATTAGTCTTATTTTTATTCTGCAAAACAAGAGGGACTAACCCCTCTATATGAAAACTAAGCTGCATCTACCAGTAATTTAATTTGCATCCATACTGGACAAATATTCTGGTCCTATTGTAGGGACTTACCTAAATTGCAACAGAAGCTTGCAGTACGGCGGTGCCTTTAATCTCACTCTTTGCTGTGCCACACCCCTTCCCCACCCTCTCCTGCTGAGTGGCCAAGGGGCAATTAATGCCATGGTTTTTGCCTCTTGGCCATTCAACCATGGGGTGAGGAGGGGGCGCACAGCAAAAAGAGCAAGATTTAAGGCACTGGTGTGCCACAAACGTCTGCTGCACTTTAAGTAGACATCTTGTCTGTTGATTTCAGTTGTTGCAAAAAAAAAAAAAAAAAAAAGTATGCGTGGGGGGAGGGCAGGTTGTAATCAGATATATGCCTGGTTTTCCTTCAGTGTCGGCTTGAGGAGGAAAAAAGATTTCAAAGTGAATGAAAGCATAAAGATTATGAAGAGAGGTGGATGCTGAATTCTAGGGCTATGATGTTCCCATTTTACCCACTGGCCCCTCTACAGGCCAAGAGCTCACTGTATTGTGTTAATATTGCCTTTTTCCAGGAGGTATTAGCCACAGGAGAAAAGATTGATTCCCATTATATTCTCATAAAAGAAAGCAATATGAAAAAGGGGTAGAACTTCAGGGTGAAGAATAAAGAGACGAGAGGCAGATCCCCTTGCTTTTGTAGAACCTGCACACTGTGAGGTACTCGGTACGAAAAGGGGAAGGGGAGAGAATCACAGTTGTATGTGATTCTAGGCTGTAAAACTGCAACGTCACTTTGCATAGCCCTTAATGAGGCACGTGCACATTTGGCCAAAGTGTGAAGAGGGCTAAAGTCAGGATGTGCCATGTCACTAAGCCAGGCTCTGTCAGTGTTTCCCATATGTACACTATGGCTTTGTGCAAGACTACCTAGGCTGCACTATGACACAGTGTCATGTGCCAGGGCTAAAGCAGCCACATAGTAAGCTTTTGGAAAGTTACCCATGCCGTCAGGTGTCAACACCACACATCTTTCTTTCCCAAGCATAACCTGGAAACTCACTGAGTGCAGAAAGGCTCAAGTTGAACTCACCCCGAGCCTGAGCATAGAATCATAAAATGAGGGTTGGAAGGCACCTTAGGAGGTCATCTAGTCCAACCCCCTGCTTAAAGCAGGACCAGCCCCAACTAGATCATTCCAGCCACAGCTTTGTCAAGTTGGGTCTTAAAAATCTCTAAGGATGGAGATTCCACCATCTTTAGGTAACCTGTTCCACTGTCTCACCATCCTCCTAGAGTGAGTTTTTCCTAATATCCAACTTAAACTTCCCTTGGTGCAACTTGAAACCATTGCTCCTTGTTCTGTCATCTGCCACCATTGAGAACAGTCCAGCTCCATCCTTATTCTCTTCTCTGCTGCAGATTAAATAAGACCAGTTCCCTCAGGCTCCTCTCACAAGTCATGTGCCCAGCCCCCTAGCCATTGTTATTGCCCTCCATTGGACTTTCCAACTTGTCCACCTCCTTTCTGCAGCGGAGGGCTCAAAACTGGACACAGTACTCCAGGTGTGGCCTCACCAGTGTAGAATAATTACTTTCCTCAGTCTGCTGGTAACACTCCTACTAATGCAGCCCGGTATGCTGTTAGCCTTCTTGGCAACAAGGGTACACTGCTGACTCGTATTCAACTTACTGTCTGCTGTAACCCCCAGGTCCTTTTTTGCAGGGCTGCAGCTGAGCTAGTTGGACCCAAGCCTGTAGTGGTGCATAGGAGCCTTCCGTCCTAAGTGCAGGACTTTGCACTTGTCCTTATTGAACCTCCTGAGATTTCTTTTGGCCTAGTCCTCCAATTTGTCTACGTCACTCTGAATCCTAGCCCTCCTTTCCAGTGTATCTACTATTGTCCTTAGCTTGGTGTCATCTGAACTTGCTGATGTTGCAATCCATCCCATCGTCCAGATCATTAATGAAAATATTGGACAAAACTGACCCCAGGACTAACCCCTGGAGTACCCCACTTGATACCAACTGCCAGCTAGACATCGAGCCATTGATTGCTACCTGTTGAGCCTAATGTCCCGGCTAGCTTTCTACCCACTTGACACTCTTTTCATCCAACCCATGCTTCCTTGACTTGTTTTTCAAGAATGCTGTGGGAGACTGTATCAAAAGCTTTGCTAAAGTCAAGGTTTATCATGTCCACTGCTTTCATAGAGCCATTCATCCCATCATAGAAGGCAATCCAGGTTGGTCAGACTTGACTCGCTCTTGGTGAATCCATGTTGACTGTTCCTGATCAATTTTTTCTCCTCCAAGTGCTTAAAAATGGATTCCTTGAGGCCTTTCTCCATGATTTTTCTGGGGACTGAAGTAAGGCTGACTGGTCTGTAGTTCCCTGGATCCTGCTTCTTTCTCTTCTTCAAGATGGGCACTCTATCTGCCAATCGTTTGGGACCTCCTCTGATCATCACAGATTTTCAAAGATTATGGTCAGCAGCTCTGTAAACATATCAGCAACTCCCTCAGCACTCTCGGATGCATTGCATCCAGCCCCATGAGCTTGTATGCATCCATTTTTTCTAAATGGTCCCTAACCTGTTCTTTCACCACTGAAGGCTGCTCACCTGCACCCCAAACTGCGCTGCCTGATGCAGTAGTCCAGGAGCTGACCTTGCCAGTGAAGACTTGAGGCAAAAAAGGGGATTTAACACTTCAGCCTTTTCCTTATCGTACGTCACTAGGTTACCTCCCCTATTCAGTAAGCAACCCACATTTTCCATGACCTTCCTCTTGTTGCTAACATGCTTATAGAAACCCTTCTTGTTACTCTTCACGTCCCTTGTTAGCTGCAACTCCAGCTGTGCTTTGGCCTTCCTGATTTTATCCCTACATGCCTAAGCAACACTTCTTGTAAACTTCCTTTTTGTGTTTAGGCTCACTGCAGAGTTGCCTGCTAAGCCAAGCTGGTTGCCTGCCATATTTGCTGTTCTTCCTGCAATTCGGGATGGTTTGTTCCTGTGCCCTCAGTAAGTTTTCATTACAATACAACCAGCTCTCCTGAACTCCTTTCCCCCTCAGACAGGATCCTGCCCATCAGTTCCCTGAGGGAGTCAAAGTCTGCTTTTCTGAAGTCCAGGGTCCATACTCTGCTGTTCTTCTTCCTTGCCCTCCTCTCCTTCCTTTTGTCAGGATCCTGAACTTGACCATCTTGTGGTCACTGCTGCCCAAGTTGCCATTCAATTCTGTGTTCGCCACCAATTCTTCTCTGTTTGTGGGCAGCTGATCAAAAAGAGCATGGCTCTTAGTTGGTCTCTCCAACACCCATACCAAGAAGTTGTCTCCAAAAACTTCCTGGATTACTGGTGCCCTGCCATACTACCCTCCCAGTTCCCCATGAGAACCAGGGCCTGTGATCTGGAAACTTCTGCTAGTTGTCTAAAGAAAGCCTCATTTATTTCATCCTCCTGATCTGGTCGTCAAAAACTTAGGGAACTGAAGTCCACTCCGTGAGGGGGTAGACTGGGCTCTTTAACCCTGGGTGACAGCCAGTCTAGGAATAGAGCCCTGATTGAACAAATGGACGATCTTTGGTACAGCAGCTCCTGCGGCCCAGCTGGTTCCAAACATACTGCTGTCTGCCTCTTCTTTAGAGTAAACCAGCAAGGCTGGGAGGAGCGGGGGGACAGCTCAGTGTCTCCAAATACACTGCCCAGGCTTGTGCACCTTGAAGAGGTCACTCCAGCTTCACTTTATCTTTCAACCACATATTACTTTCAGCAAACTGGTGTCTTGGCATAATTGTATTGTTTTGTGAGATCGGCAGATGCCTACTACTACTAGTAGTACCAATACTGTGATTTTTCAGCTCTTATCTGTTCTCTTCTATCTTCTATGTTCTGTTATTGCAGTGGTTCCCAACCCTTTTTTTCTGCAGCCTGCTGATGGGAGCAGAGTGCAGCAGCAGCCCCGGCATGGGGCCAAGGGAGCTCCCAGCATGTGGCGTGGCTCATCTTTTGTGTGCGGTGCTGCCAACATTGCCCCCATGACCCTCATTTGGGTCACCAGCAGGGGTTGGGAACTGCTGTATTATTGGATGGAATACTTTGCAATGATAATGATAATTTATTTTTGCAATGAATACTGTGTTTACCTGAATCCAAGCTATCTTTCA